AAATAGTATTTGAAAAATTAAAAATAATATAAAAAAGAAAGTAAAAGGGTATAACCGTCTTTTCAAGTTTTTTTGGACTAAAAACACAGAAAAATCTTGATTTTGGAACTTCTATGCAAGTGAAAAACTTTTTGGACCCTATCCAAAAAATTTTGAATACCACAGGGATCAATCTTGCAGTTTTGTCGAACTAGAATAATTATATGTCACCGATAAAAAGATAAGCATGTAATTTGTAAATATTGTGCATCAACTATGCAGTAAAACAAAGTAAAGAAGTCCCTGTTTTGTTATTATTTATTTTACTATTTTAAAGAGAGAGTTTCAATTATAAGAACCTGAATGGTCTGAATTGTAAATATGATTGAATACGAGGGTAGGGTTTGTAAGATAATTGCGAAAAGCTAATCGGCGTCGTCGCTTCATTTCTTCGAGTCCGCTGGTCGGCGTCGTGATCTACAGCAGAATAACAACTCAATAGAGAGCAAAAATGGCAGCAAGGGGATTAGCAGCGGAAGCCTTGACAGCTTACAGAGGGCTGCTGAGAGCGACTCGGAAATCATTCGCCGGAGACACCGTGATGCTCGAGGGGTCGGCGGCCGAGGTGAGGAAGAAATTTGAGGAGAACCGTCACGTGACCTCCGAACCGGAGATTCGGAAACTCCTCGACGAGGCACGCGAAGCCTCTGATTTCATATCTAACATGATTGTTCAGGCCAAACTCAATTCCCGCGGCGGCTACGGTACCATTACACTATTTTTTCGTCACTTTTTTTTCCGTGTGAATATACAATGAATTACCGTTTTGCACACTATCTAGTTTATGCTTTTAGTCGCTATTCATGTGTTCGCTTTGCTAGAAGCTCGATGATTGATGTAGACGTGCTATGATTACGATCTTAGATTGCATTGTTAAGAGCTCTTTATGATAGGTTTTCCTGATTATTTCGGTGCTTGCTACATTATAATATTTGCCCTAAATAAGACATCATAGAATTAGATATGTGAAATGGATTCGCAGTCGGTTCATGATCCAATTGCAATTCGAAAATTCTGGTTTTCTAGGTTTAACCAGTCATATCCGCATAGAATCTCATTTTCTTTGAAATGGATCCTTCAAGTGCTATTGCTGTGGTGAGTCCAGTGTTACCTAGCCCACGCCTGTAAAAACAATTATTTGAAGTAGACATTTCTCCTTCGGAAGGAAGCTATAGAATTATAAGCATCTTAGTGTATGTTCATAAGCCACCATTCAAAACTAGGCAACCAGGTTTAATTGAATTAAGGTTTCAAGATTCGACTCTGCTGCAATAAGTAGATCAGTGTCTTCCCCTTTTAATTTTTGTTTTGGAGGCACCCTTTTCTACATGGGAACCATTGTTGTTTCTTTGCTTAATCCATTACAGTTGATTTGAAATATCAATATGGGAAAAAAGGGAAAATTAGATAATTTTATTGTTGAAGAAATGTTCTTTTTATGAGTTTTGCAAGCACGATGGTTATGAAGCCATGTGTCAAGTGTGATGATTATAAAAGTTGCATATTAGCTACTTCAAAATTATTTCACCCTGTAAATATGACTTGAAAACTTATTCAAGATTTACAACTGCAGCTTCTTTTTAAAGTAGCTGATTTTTTTTTATTAATATTGCTTTAGGGGAACCCTTTTGTACTTGGTATGAGATTATTATAGTTATGGGTATCAACCAATCCACTTTCACTTGATAAATAATTTCCTTATTTATTTATAACTGCAGAAGTGAAGCCAAGCAAGGATCATGCAGGAGCAACACTCGAAGTCCCTTCTGAAGAAATTCTTAAAAATTCTGTCTGATGAATAACTACAAAAGCTAGCAATTAATTGTTGATCTATTTTCCCTAATTATACTGAGAGCTCATATATATATTTTTGATTATGTAATTCATCATAATTATGAGATTTTCTCTTCATATAAACTCTTACCTTCTTTCTACTTTTCCAATCTACACTCCTTGGATTCGATCATTATTTAATGCTTTGTATCTGCTTTCTTGTGAAAAGATCTACTACTGTATTGATTTTGATGGTGTGCTAAGTGCCAACTTTATGTTCTTCATTGATCACAGGGGAAAGGAATATGATAGAAGAATCCTCTCTAACAGATCCCATCTTCTTTCAAAATTCATGACATGCCCACCTCATTTCACATGATTCTCTAAACCCCATCTTTTTCAACTTACCACTCTTTATTGCCCTCATCCTCTTCTTGTTTTTATAGCTAACAAACACAAAAAAGGAGTTTCTCAACACTACTTTCCACCTCACCAAAAAACCTTTTTCTCTTTTATATATAATATGTTTTCGTTGTTCCATCTTTTGAACTGCATAAAGGGTAAGAACTAAGAATACCCTTCAAAGTCTTTAAATAATTCCAAGTTTTTTCAACCTCTTCAATGGCTATTTTAGTAACATCCATGTTACTACTACTATCATGGCTAATAGCCCCATGGTCCTCATGGGCATCTGGAGATAGCGGTTATGTTGTAGATGCTTGTAATGTTACAACATATCAAGATCTTTGTATCCACTCTCTTGCTTCGTATTCAAACATTGCAAAACGGGACCCGAGTAAGTGGGCCCGGGCGGGTGTCTCGGTCACTATAGGTGAGACGAAGAACACGACTCGGTATTTATTAGGACTAAAGAAGAAGAATCGCTTCAAGGGAAGAAATCGGGTTGCGGTTTATGATTGTGTGGATGTGTTTCAAGACACATTGGATAACCTTCACAAATCGTTAGGGGTGCTTAGACAAATAAGTGCTGTAACATTTGAGACACAGATGGAGGATGTCACTACTTGGGTTAGTAGTGCACTTACTGATGAAGAAACTTGTTTAGATGGGTTTGAAGGGCAAAAAGGGAAACAAATCAAGTTGTTGGAAAGTAGAGTTAAAAGAGTGAGTTATTTTACTAGTAATGCTCTTGCTCTTGTTGCTAAACTTGCTTCCACTGGGCCATAGGAATTACGACAACACCCATTTCACCATTATGACCTTTAGGCAAACTTACCCTTCTCTTTATCTTTACCATCTTTAGCATAAGCAAATAAATTGTTGGTTCCCATGATTGAAATATATGGAGAAGATTTCAAAGTCATGGTAACATGAATCAAACACTTGTGTAAATGACTCCCTTTTATATGTATATCGTGGTATCAGTATTTTGTGTCTTTTGGTGTATATATTTTTATATAAAATAACATATTTGTATGATACAGCCACCATGAATCATAACAGGCGTAAATCATAACGTCAGCCAAGAATTTAACAAAAAAAAAAAAAAAAAACAGAGGTAAATACGACAATAACCAACAGATGGCATGGGTTTAAGTTCAAAAGTGTCTTGATACTGTTCTCTCATGGAATAATGAATAATTTTTTTAGGCATGTGGAAAGATGATCTGGAGGTAGATTGCTTTGTAAAATGAGCTAAATCATGCTATTGTTAGACTAGAGAAACTAGAAAGTGATGGATTAGGCAGGGAAATGTCAATAAAGTGAAAGTGAGTGTTCAAAATTTCCTTTTTGCTTATAGATCTGTTGGTTCTCTTTTTTAGGAAAGGGATGGGCGATACAAATGGTCAAAACTGAATACAACTCAAAACATGTAGGGTTATTTATTTATTTCTGATTTTATTAAGCATCAAAGCTACGACAACTGAGTCGAGCCAACGAAATTGACTCGATTCAAGTCGAGTCGAGTTTGAGTTCAAGCTATTCGGGTACATATTATCAAGTTGAGCTCAAGTATTAGAATATCCGTCTTGTGAAACTTGCGAGTTTAATCAAACATAGTTATAGTTACATTTTTACTCTTTTTTTTTTTTTTCATATTTACATATTATAGAGTTGAGTTGAGTCGAGATCACAAGCTTAATCGTATTTTTATTGCAACTAAATGTGATTTTATTTTTTAATAGCTATTTGAGTCGAGTCAAGCTAACATGGGTGGTTTTAGTAGGTGTCTCGATGTGGCACCGACAACATCTACTTTTTCTGTCCGCATGGAAAAAATTTTGATTTTTCGATTTTTTTATCTATTTTTCCTGCATCATCAACACCTATTATGTATTCATGTGTCTGCCCCTGCAAGGTAAGCTAGAAAGTCTTGATTAATTTATCAAGCTCAAGCTCGAGTGTGATAATTAAGGCTTCAATCGAGCTAAAGCCTAGTTTCGAGTTACAACTTTTTTTTTAGTTGAACCAAGTTTTGAACTTGGTTGTACTCGACTCGACTCAATTACACCCTATATCTATGACACAACAATTACATTCATTGGGATTATGTTGATATGTTTACTACATAAGATGTTCCTCTGGTGCCCTATGAGATGAAAATAGGCCCTTAGGTGTGACGCCTACATTTCTCTTAGTGCTCACAATCTCATCGTTTTTTGACTCTATCTGCTACAATAAACTATATTGGAGAAATAAGGTCGGTGTTTCCTTTCCTTTCTCTGTTAGGATGGTTTGGCTAAGTATCTGCCCCGAAGAATCAATTGTTGATTTGACATAATCTTGTGTGGTTCTTTCAAAATATTACTCTGGCGTGCATTCATTTTATGGGTGACCCTTAAAGACCATCTCAAAACGCATGATAAAATACGTATACGGGAGCCACATTGAAATCTCTTATGCAACTTCTATAAAATTTGCGTTGATTTGCTCAACCACTTCTTCTTCCGACTATACCTACCCCTCCTAGGTCTGACACATTGTGAAAGACAATATGAATCTCAACAATGCTCCTAAAAAATGGATTGACATCATCAATACCTTCAAGCAATCCTCAAAAGGTAAGATCAAATTGATTTATCATTTATAGAATAGTACTTGCATGTACTATTTACCACGTGTAGATCGAAATAAACTACAAGATCTTCAAAAATAATAGAACCTACGAAATGATCGTAAAGACTATTATTGGTGATGTTCATTCGAGACTCATAAGCTTGACTC